ATGACGGACTTACCAGTAAATCCATAACTAAAATTGGTGGTGGAGATGTAGCGGGCGAACTGGTGGGATTGCGCACCCCATTGGTCTGTCCCTTAGCCAGTATAGGGTTCATGGGTTATGAATTAGCTGGTAGCATTAACCGGCACCCAGTTGTGGCTTATTTAGACAGTGGGAGTACTGCAAATTATATTTCTGGGGCAATAGCTTAAAAGATAGGACTTTCATCGGATGGAAAAGCAGTAAAACTACAAATGGCTGACAAAACCACTCGTGAGACGTTGGGACGAGTCTTTGGAGTTAAATTTCGCTGTGGCCAATTCACAAGTATATTCAATGTGGATATTTTCCCTGGGTTAACTCATGACATACTCTTGGGATTACCATGGTTGATCAATGAAAACCCTCAAATCGATTTCCAGTCAGGCAAGATACAGGTGCTACAAGGACAAGACTATGTGGCTCTACCAACGGTTACTTGTCCAAAACAACAGATGACGTCATAGGGCAATCCATTCAGAGATCACAAGGATATGCTTATGGTAGTGATCAAGCCAGTTGATGATGATAGTATTCCTGTGGAGACCATCCCTGAAGAGCATGAAGGCTCAGATGTTCATCAACTCAAACGTCCAGACCTGCCAGAAGAGATCATTACCACACTAGATGAGTACAGTGAAGTGTTTGCAAAGGACTTGCCACCAGGAGTACCACCAGTGCGCCAAGGTCACGAATTTCATATCGAGTTGGAGCCAAGAGCACAGCCAGTGAGTCGCCCTTTATACAAGCTTAGTCCATTGGAACTAGAGGAGGTGAAGCGTCAACTTGATTATTTGTTGAAGCAGGGGTATGCACGTCCATCGGAGTCGCCTTGGGGAGCACCCATTATCTTTGCCCCCAAGAAGGATGGAGGGCTAAGGATGTGTTTGGACTATCGGTGGCTTAACAAGGTCACCAAGAAAAACAAATACCCACTACCACTTCCTGAGGAGTTGATCGATAGACTGGCTGGCGCCAAGGTATTTTCAAAACTCGATTTGCGCAGCGGATACTGGCAAATGCCGATCAGGGAACAAGATGTTGAGAAAACTGCATTCAAATGTCGCTATGGGCAATTCGAATTCTTGGTTTGTCCATTTGGAGTTACGAATGCACCACCTCAATTTCAAGCAATGGTGAATGATTTGTTCAGCGACATGATGGATCAATTCCTTATAGTGTTCCTTGACGACCTAGTCATCTACTCGCGAAATTTGGCAGAGCATGCACAACACTTGAGGATGGTATTGGATCGCCTCAAGCAACATAAGTTATTTGCCAAAGCAAGCAAAACACAAATTGCGGTTACAGGCACTGACTTTGTGGGTCACTGGATATCTGGGGATGGCGTATCACCAATGCCAGTCAAGATCCGTGCCATACAACAATGGAAGAGGCTGGAGAATGTGACGGATGTGCGTAGCTTCTTAGGCATGGTCAGCTTTTACAGAAGATATATACGCAAGTTTGCAGAGATTGCTGGCCCATTGCACGACTTGACCAGGAAGAACATCATGTGGCATTGGGGGCCCAGACAGGAACAAGCTTTTGAGGACCTAAAAAAAGCACTTACCACCGCTCCCGTACTGATTCTTCCTGATCCCAATTTTCCCTATCTTGTTGTGACCGATGGAAGCGACCTGGCAATTGGAGCTGTCATTATGCAGGACCAAGGTATCGGTCACCAGCCTATAGCCTTCCTCTCAAGGAGATTGCGTCCAGCTGAGACCAGATATTCTCCATACGATAAGGATATGCTGGGGATTTCCTATGCTCTCAGCCAATGGAGACATTATCTGGAGGGATGCCCTGGAGGTGTGACTGTGATGACAGATCAGCAACCAGCTACGAGTTTTATGGAGCAAAAGAACTTGTCTCGCACACAAGCACGCTGGCTGAAGAGCGGATATTTTGAGAGTATCATGCCAGTGATGAAGTACATACCAGGCAAGGCAAACGTGGTTGCGGATGCACTTTCACGCAGTTATACAGTCCAAACTTCATCAGATTCAATTGCCAAAGTTCAGTCAGCTGTAGTCCCTTGTGTTGATGACTCAGAGCGAGAGGCATGGCTTCACTCACTACATACAGATCCAATTACTCGTGATGTGTTGGTAAAGCTCAAGATGGGTCAAGCTGTGAGGGGATATTCAATCGATCAGTCAGGAGTATTGTACTACCAAGCAACAGGGAACGAGCGCAGAATTGTGGTTCCTACCAGTAAGCAACAACACATTCTTGAAGAGCATCATGATGTACCTACCATTGGACACTTGGGTGTTGAAAGAACATTGGAGATGCTACAACGAGTTTACTGGTGGAAAGGGCTTCGCCAATCAGTCAAAGAGTACATCAGAACTTGCCCGAAGTGCCAAATGTTCAAGTCAGAGAACCAAGCACCTAAAGGACTTCGGCAAGCAATTCCTATTCCTACAGCTAAGTGGGAGCAAATCACGACTGACTTGGTAACAGATCTACCCGAATCACATGGATATACGGCAGTTGCAGTATTCGTCGACCGACTCACCAAATTCGTCATTTTTGTTCCTTGTCAGAAAGAGCTGAGTGCAGTGGGATATGCGAGGCTATTCTTTGATCATGTGTTCAAAATTGCTGGAATACCTCGAGCCATTATTAGCGACAGAGATCCCCGCTTTCTTAGCAAGTTCTGGCAGGAATTATTCAGACTTCTTGGTACAAGCCTACGTATGTCTACCGCGTACCATCCAGAGACCGATGGTCAATCCGAGGTTTCCATACGCACTCTTGAGAACTTTTTGAGGCCATACGTTGAGGAACATCCAGAAGAGTGGAGTACATATCTACCTCTGGCAGAATTCGCGGTTAGAAATGCTATCAACGTGTCAACTGGATACAGCCCTTTTTATTTGATGTATGGGCAACACGTTGAAGTTCCAGTAGGTCTCATGGCTGAGAAGACTGTGGATACGAAGGTTGAGTCAGTAGATGTTATGGTCAGTAGGATGCAAAAGGTCATGTCCAGGGCAGTACGGCAATATGAGAGAGCGCAGGCGAGGATGGTGACAACGGCCAATAAACGACGTCGAGATGTTCAATTCCAGCAAGGCGATGAAGTTGTGGTGCGCACAGCCTTTCTACCATCCACTTCATTTGCACACATTCCTGTGAAGATTCGACGACGTTATTTGGGACCTTTTAAGGTTGCAAAAGTTGTTTCACCAGTTGCCTACCAGCTTGACCTACCATCCAATTGGAAAATCCATCCAACATTTCATATAGAAAAATTAAAGAAATTCGAGCGTAGCACAGAGTTTCAGTGGAGCGTCACTTCACCCCCAGACACCATCGAGATTGAAGGTCATCCAGAATATGAGGTTGAAGCCATCATTCGACATCGAGGCTCGACTTCCCGCCGACAGTATCTTGTAGCTTGGAAAGGCTATGAACTACATGAGGCTACTTGGGAACCCGAGGCCAACCTCACCCATTGCAAAGATCTTCTTGCTGAGTATCTCCTTCGGTTACAACGACACGAAACAATCACGAAGACCAGACATGATCGAAGACGGAAGTGATGGACTGTGTGGGCTATCGAATAGCAAGGTTTCAGTATTGATTTGGTCGTGGTATGGGACACGATGAGCCGGGTCAGTCTGAGATCCTGTTGGGTACGCCGTAGCTTCCGCCTGGCTAGTTTTCTGATTGTGTGTTGAGTGGCCGAGGACGTCCACACTCGATGGGGGGGGGAGAGTTGATACAGAATGTTGCACGCAATGCTGGACAATCATATACAGAATGTTGCACGCAATGCTGGACAATTATATATGTAACAATCACACGCGGGGGAGACACTCCTCCCTCTCTCTCGTTGACTCAAGCGCGCCCGCACCACTAGGGTTTGGGTTTAAAGTTTAGGATGTCCAAAACAAGAATGGATCTTCGCAAAAAAGACAGGGGGACCAGCTACATGGCCGGCCATCAGCTCCCATTTTGCCCCACAGTAGCAGTTTCCCTTTGAAACTAGTGCTTCCTTTTCCTTCAGCCTCGCCAGACATTACCCGAATTGAGGTAGCTCTTGCAAAAATTTGCCCGACACTTTATTGTCCAGAATTGAAGTATACCAGGCAAAGCCGTGGTGGCCGCTCTTCTCTGTCGCCTTTCAAATATACAATCTTTCTTAATACTTAAAAGCGCCGGTGCGCACAAGAGATTTCCGCCCTCTAAAACTACCAAAATTGCCGACTGCATGGACGAGAAACCTTGCCAAATATAAAATCAGTTGTAGCGCTCAACCTCCACCTAATCTGATGGAAAACAAAAACACACACACAGCTCTGTGGACCAAACCCCTCGTCGGTTTGCCTGGACAGGAGATCACCGCAAAGTGCATGGCACAGCAAGACAGCAACGTGGCGAGGTGGCAAGCTGCCAATCGCATCGTGCACCGAAGTGAACTGGCGCACTGCCATCATCAAGACGATGACTGAGCTTTACAGAATTGTGGCGGTTGGCCCCCCCCGTGCGGTTGTACCACTCAGAACTGTGCGGAACTCAACTCCCAAAGAGAAGTTGCCGGTTGTTGCGTGCCCGAATTGGGGCCAGTTTAAAGTTTCTTGCCGGACATTGTCCGAGTTAGACCGCGTTTCAGCGTTGTCTACCGGGCGCACTGTCTGAATTAGGGTCCCTTCTGGCGTATCGAGCTGGTCGTTTGAAACCTAATTCGGGCAAAAAGTGGCAATTCGGACACAAAAAGTAAACCTGGTCGAAACCCATTTTTCCGCCTATTGTCCGCTCATAAGCCCCCCCTCCCCGCCGTCAAACCGCACAAGCCGCCTCCCGATGACCGACCCTCCCCCGGGCCCGCACCCCGCACGCGACACACCCAACAGGGACAGCGGCACCGGTCATGAGCAGCCTGCGGGCGCGCCAGGCCGCCGCCCCTGAGCCACCGCCCAGCAGCGCGTCGCCAATGCCCAGCGAGCATGCCGGGCACGCAGCCGGCGCTCGCGTCCGCGCTGTCTAGCCAATACCGCCTGCTGCTGCGGTCGCCCGGCGGCCTGTCCTCGGCGTCGCTGTGCGAGGAGTGCCTCAAGGTGCGGCTGTGGATCGCGTCAGGCCGCATCCCTCCCTCCACCCTATCCCGAAGGGTGCGATTTCCGGACCCAGCGCGGCTGGGCGGCGCCGATCGGATCCTTCAACCCCTTGAGACACGCTGGCAGGCAATCTGATCATCCCTGTCCCCCCCCGGCTTTACCAGCTCGCGGACCTCTTCGGCCCTGGCGGGCGCCTGTCTCTGCTGCGCGTGCTGCTGGAGGACCTGGACTTCGGATCAGGCATCGGCAACAGCCCCAAGGTCAAGGTGTTGGGGCACGTGCTGGGCGCCCTGGTGCCCAACCTGCCCAGCCTGTTCTGCCAGGCGGTGTTGGCGGCGTCAGTCCGGCGGGAGAGCTACCTGCGCGAGCTGTGCGCGGCGGTGGAGCTGCCCTTGGAGCGGCAGGTGGAGATCGGATTGGCCGTCGCCCAGGCGCCGCATCCCGGTTGGAGCGCCGAAGGTGGGTGGCGGACGATCGCCAGGGGCGGCGGGCGGCCGCGCACACGATGCGCATGCCTCCGCGCCTGCCTGGGATGGATTTTCGGCGCCGGTGTTGATCGCCTGGGCGGGTCTGGCGATGCCAGGGGGGTGAGGCTGATCTTGCTTGCCGCGATTCTGCGCGACTTCTGGGGGTCGGTCGCGAGTGCAGCTGGTTGTGGAGTGGGAGGAGCGTCCACGGGCGTGGCGAAGCGGAAGCCGTCCAGGATGCGAGAGTGGCTGTGATTCCCACTCAGCGGAATGTCTAGCGCCTATCGGCTTCAAGCCGTTTTGTTTGTCCCTTCCCTTTTTCTTTCCTGTTTTTGACAATCTGCCTGTCGGGATCATGATGGGGACTCAAGGCAGCCCTGGGCAAAGGTGTCAATCAGGAAGGGCAGCGCTCCGACGGCCCTCACGTGTGCGCCCGCGATGCTTGTCTGCGCAGGCGTCAGTTTTCTGAAGGAGAAGGTGTCCGAGCTCGTGGAGCGGGGCGCGGTGCTGCCGGAGGGCGTGCGCCACGGCACGGTTCGTGAGGAATTAACAGAATCTTTGGAGGCATGCTTTGGCGATTGAGCGTATTTAGCACCCATAATCGCCCTCCACACAAAAGGAAAGGAAACTTTTAACATTCTATTTCATTTAAGGAAACCTTAGAGATAAATTCACCGGAGGAGGCCGCCCATGCAAAGGCCCATACTCCCGAGAAACTTAATTACTCATCTTTGGACTGTGGGACTGCTGGCTGTGGGCGCACTCAGCTTCTTTCCACCTGTTTTATCATTCGTGGACAAGAGGCGCAACATGGGATATTTAATTGCTCAATAAAACATAGACAGGCATTGCTGGATTCAAAACATCGAAGAATGGACTCTTTACTAAAAATTCGAGCACTACCGGAACAGACTTTCTTCTTTTTGCTTGCGCCTGCGCCACCATGAAGAGCCTACAAGAAATTGCCCCTACGGCTCTTAAGCCTAACTCCTTACCTCAACCTCTAGAGAAATCACTTAGGCGGCTTATCCTAAACTTGAAGTACAGGAGGACGGGAGAAAGCATGGGAGGTTCGCCGAAGTACCACTCCCGCTAGCCCCCACCGCCGTACTGCGTGTAACGCCCCCACCGCCGTGGCCTCGGGCCGCGCCTCCTCCGTGGGCATCTACCGGAAACTCCATCTTAAGCTAAATTATTTGGACTATCTTCTGGAGGCCCCGGGAGCTACCACTTATAAATCCACCTGAGGAGGGAGGCGCCAAAGGCCAGGAGCACGAGGGGGCAGGATTCCCGCTGCTTGTGGGAACTCTGCACTACCACCATGCCTGCAGGAAATGCCCATCTATACTCAAAAAGTCCTCCCAGCTTGAGGAGTCCAAAAAGCTCAATTTGGGTGAAGCTTACAGCATCCTCGAGGGAAGCCATAGAGTCGAAAGTATTGTATCGAGAAAGAGAGTGTCACTTTTCAACAGATCTACAACGAGCAGACAAGGCTGGAGGACGTGATACAGATGCTGAAGCGTTACAAGAGCTCGTCACAGCAGCGAGAGCGGGAGGTGTTTGCATGCATGGTGCACAACCTTTTTGACGAGTACCGCTTCTTCCCCAAGTACCCTCCCAAGGAGCTGAACATCACAGCCGTGCTGTTTGGCCAGCTCATACACCATCAGCTGGTGTCGTCCATCACACTGGGCATCGCCCTAAGGTATGTGCTGGATGCCCTCAAGAAGCCTCTCGACTCTGTGATGTTCAAATTTGGGCTGAGCGCTATCCACCAGTTCAAGAACGAGCTGGCGGCTTGGCCTGCGTACTGTGGCAATGTGCTGGCTGAACCCCATGTAAGGGAGGCTGACCCGGAGTTGGTGGCATTCATAGAGCGCTGCATGGAAAGCAGGGAGAGGGATACTGATGCAGGTGGGTCAGTGGGGCCATCAGCTGCAACTCCAGGCTCTGGCTCGGCCGCATCCGGGCTGAATACAGCAGCATCGGGTCCAAGTGGCGCAACGTTTCCAAACTCTGGGAGGGCTGCTTTGGACCAGCCAAATGGGGTGCAGACGCCTGAAGTTGCTCATGACAGTGTCGGGCCCTCCCCCCAAGCTGGGGTCCTAGGCTTGCCGAACCAGGCAGACGCCGGCCGTGGCAGTGGTCCTACAGGAGGATCGAGAGGCGCTGAGCCCGTGCAGATGAATGGGATGCAGCAGCCCCAGGCGCCTCCCGCCGCTCAGCCCCTGCCCGAGCCACCAGCAGAGGCAGCCAGAGCCCAGCCGTCAGCCCAGAGTTACGAGAATGGGACGAAGCCGCAGACCACTTCCACTCCCCAGCATTCTGCTCCAAACACCGGCTCGAGCACCCCCTCACTTGCCACGATCAATGCCGAGACCCTAGAGTCCGCCGCGGCACAGTATTGCGATTTTCCAGTTCCACCTGAGAAGAATAGGGACAGGTTCATCTTCCTGCTGAACAACTTGTCTGCTCAGAACATCGCAGAGAAGGTGGCACAGGTGGAGGAGTTCCTTGAGGACGACTACCTGCAGTGGTCGGCCAACTACCTAGTGGTGAAACGGGCTGCCCAAGAGCCCAATTTTCACGTACTGTATGTGAAACTCCTGGACCAGCTTGACAACAAGAAACTGCTTGAGTTCATCGTGCGCACGACCCACCACTACGTCAAGGTGCTGCTGGATTCAGAGAGGATAAAGACGGAGATGAGTGACCGGTCGCTGTTGAAGAACCTTGGCAGCTGGTTGGGGCAGCTCACGCTGGGGAAGAATAGGCCGCTCAGACAGAAGGACCTGGACCTTAAGGCCATCATATATGAAGCATATGAGAGGGGGAAGATGGTGGCAGTGATACCCTTTGTGCACAAGGTATTGGAGCCCGGCAAGGAGTCCAAGGTGTATGGGCCCAACAACCCATGGATAAAGAGCATATTGGCGCTGCTGGCTGAGATATACACGTTAGAGGGGCTGAAGATGAATCTGACCTTTGAGATCGAGATGATCTTCAAGGATTACAACCTTAGCCTTGGGGACATTGCTGCATCCAAGGGCCTGGAGGAGTACCAACGGGAGACGATCAACAATGGAGACTTTTATGAAAAAAAGGCACCCCAGCCACCACAGCCTGCAGTTGAACAGAAACCCATGCAGCCTGTTGGGCCCCCAGACGTCTCCTCATTGAACCCGTTGATGGACCCAGTCTACACGGGGGGCCAGACTTCCTCGCAGCAGCAGATCATGTCAATGCAGAACTTGAGGCAGGGGCCCGTGGAGGCTTCAGACATGGCGCCATTAATGGCTGCATCAGTTCCGCGGCCTGTGGTGAGCCCCTTCGGACCAATGCCGCCTGCGCCGTCACCTGTGACTGGAGCCGGAGGGCAGATCGCTGGCACTGATGCTGCGAGCCTGCTGGGCCAGCTTGCAGGCACCCTGCACCAGCTGGTGACCATCAACCCAAGCCTGAGTGCGATCGCTGACAGGGTGCCATTGAAGAGGCTGATATCCGTGGGCATAGACAGGGCAATCTATGAGATCATAACCCCGGTGGTGGAGCGGAGTGTGATGATCGCCTGCACAACCACGAAGGAGTTGGTGACCAAGGACTTCGCCATGGAACCTGACGAGAGCAAGCTGCGGAGGTCGGCGCACTTGATGGTCAGCAGCCTGGCGGGTAGCCTGGCCTTGGTGACCTGTAAGGAGCCACTCAAGGTCAGCCTGCAGTCCCAGTTAAAATCTGTGCTGCAGAGCGTGCTGGACCCTTCAATCCTGGAACAGACCATCAACATTGTCATCAATGACAATTTAGACCTCGGGTGCACCATCATCGAGCGGGCGTCAACTGACAAGGCGATCAAGGAGGTGGATGAGCGGCTGCTGCCATTCTACCAATCTCGGCAGAAGGCCAGGGCTGCAGGGACACCCTTTTACGACATGTCCATTTTTACAAAAGGCGGCGGTCGTTTTCCAGCGTCCCTTCCAGACAGCCTGAGGCCACGGCCAGGCCACCTGAACCCACAGCAGACCAGGGTGTACGACGATTTTGCCAGAATTCCAAGGGCGGGGAACAGCAACGTCTTGAGGATGTCTGGGATGGAGTCATCAGGACAGGTGCGACATTTCAGCAACGTCGTGTTTGCTGCTGTGTGTTTTAATGTGCTGGGGTGGTGTACATGGTGAATGTCATGTTTGACAATGCAACTACGAGCACAATGCAAAGGCACAAATGCTCAGCTGCTTTGCGATCTGTTGTTCTGGCAGATTTTGTTCGACTTTGTGGGTGTCACATTGGCTCAAAACCCCCAAAATGGTCCCCCTACTACTTTGCACAATTGCAAGGATTTGTTGGGCAGGATTAGCCAAAGCTGAACTTGTTCAATGGGGCCAGGGATGTGCAGCATTAAGCCAGCTCAAGTTGTCGTCTGTGCATCATCAGCATAGTTGGGGCACTGTTGTGCGCAATCAGCACTGGATTGCACTTAGATACTATGCACCACTCTCCTTTGGCATGTCTTCCCCCAGGGTATGACAATGCACTGCCTGAGTGACCCTCTGTTCTGTTGTTTTCTTTTGGGCACTAGGGCAGTGTTGTATTGTCAATGCAGAAGAGGGCACAACTTGTTCAAAAGGAACATTGACTAGCTGCAGCATCAAACGGGTTTGTTTTATGTGCGTATACTTGTAGTATGTATGTACATAGCTAAATTTGGAAGTACCCATTGCCACAGCTTCAGGTATTCTTCTGCATGGCCAGCTGGTGGCTGTGGTGTTCGTATTTTGTTCATTCAATGCGTATGCGTACCCCATCATGTTTTCTGTGTTAGTTAAATTTAACCCCCACCTTAAACATTCAAGACCCTGAGAGGGCACCTCTCACAAACCACTTTGTGCAAGCCTCTATTGTGGGCACTTGCCAAACTCAATCTAGGACCCGAATTGATGACTAGATTATACCTTGTTTCCTGCTGCAGCTGCAGATGAGCTCCACAGCCGACCAATATGCCATGATGCAGCCCGACAAGCCCGCATCGCTGGCCGAGAGCTATGCACTCTGGCAGCAGCGCATCGATGCGGTGATTTCCAAGGAAGCAGCCCAGAACCAGAGTGACTTCTCCCAGCTGCCTGAGACGTCCGAGGTGCACCACCTGCTGGCAGAACTGGTTGAGCTCGTCGCCCAGTGCCCCAACCGCGACGAGGTGGTGTCAGGCATCGCTGAGAAGATCTTCCTTCACATGTATGACCGCCAGCACCGGCTCCACACCAGCGTGCTGGCGGCTGCCCTTGCCCTCCTGCGCACCTCCGGCTTCAACCGCCTGCCCAGCAGCGTGACCTCCTGGTTCTGCCAAGTATCGCAGGACGAGGCCCGGAGGTTCAACCAGCCTGTGGCCGGCGGCCTGATTCGCGCTAACCTCATGGTGTTCCCTGAGTTGGACCTCCACCTTGCTCGCTGCTTGGGCTCGGGTCTCAGTGCTCCAATGACCGGCTGCGTGGAGTTCGTGCTCTACCTGGTGAAACAGTTTGTGATGGGTGAGGGCATCGTGAGGGCCTCTGAGCTTGCCAGCACACTGGACCTGTTGAGGAAGCTGGCGCTGAGGTCACCTGATGGTGACCAGATCCTGCACCTCATCGACCAGGTTCGGGTCTTTCCGAAGGACTCCGACCCCGACGGCCTAAGGGACCAGGTGGCGGGCATGTTTGACAGCTGGGCGACAGTTGTGCACTCGGACCCCACCGACGCAAAGATCAAGGCGTGCGTGGAAGCCTTCATGAAGGCCGGCCTTCTCAAAGGGGATGACGTCACTGGGCGGTTCTTCAGGATATGTGCGGAGCTGTCTGTGCTGCACTGCGTCAACACAGAGGTGGCCAACGCCCAGGGCCAGAAGCCCGGAGACGGCCGCATGTCCTTTGTTATGATCGACGCCTTCGTCAAGCTGGTGGTGACCCTCTTGGAGGTGATCCGCGGCGGGGTGCCTGGCCTGCGCAAGGTCCTCGAGATCATCGTGCAGGTGCTGTACAGCGACCATGACGAGCGGGGCACCCTGTACAACTCCCGCCCCTACTTCCGCATATTCTATGGCCTCTTTCAGGAGTTGCTGCCCCAGGACATCAGCGAGCTCCCAAGCGTGGACACCATCGCTGCACTTGCCTGCGCGCTGGTCAGCTGCCGCCCGCAGCGCATGCCTGGCTTCACCTTCTCTTGGCTCGAACTCGTCTCGCACAGGACGTTTATGGCACGGTTGCTGAAGCTGCCAGACCGCCAGGGGTGGCCCTATTTCAGGTGAGTCGGGATATGAGAACATATTAGCCCCTCTGTCTTTCCGTGAGGATCCCTTGTTCTTCTGCCGACAAGGCCAACGTGGGCCAGCGGGTCAGTGGTTTGGGGGTTAGAATGTTGAAAGAAGTAGGGATCTTCATGGATCAGGCAGAGCGCCTAATTTTGTGCCATCGGGATATTTCGATTGTTGGATTTTCGGCTTCCTGGGTTTTCTACGTATTCTGAGCCAGGGAAAGGGGCGATCACTCTTCAACAAGCACAGTTGATGGAACGATGCTCGCACTGGCCTTGGAGAAGCGGGGGCGGTGCTTTGTTAAAGTCGAAAATGGGCCTTGAGGGATGCTGATGAAGTGAATTGCCCCCCCCCACCCCACCCCACCCTCTGCTTCAGGTCTCTCTTTATGGGCCTCCTGCTCTTCATGCAGCCCTACCTCCGCCATGCTGAGCTGGGCGACACCCTGAGGCTGCTGTATCGAGGGGTGATGCGTGTGATGCTGGTCCTGTTGCATGACTTCCCTGAGTTCCTGTGCGACTACCACGTGGAGCTATGCAACGTCATCCCCCCGAGCTGCGTGCAGATGAGGAACCTCATCCTGAGTGCCTTCCCCAGCCACATGCGCCTGCCTGACCCCTTCACACCCAACCTGAAGGTGGACCTCCTGGCCGACATCAACAAGGAGCCGAACGTCTTCCCTGAGGTGTCCAGCCTGCTGCCAGCAGAGCTGAAGCTGGGAGTGGATCAGTACATCAAGACACGCAGCCCCACGGGCTTCCTGGACGAGCTGCCTCAGAGACTGATGCTGTCGCAGGTGACTGCGCTTGCAATAGATGTTTCTTTGCCCAGAGACATCCAACAGCATCTGATAGTGGCAGAAGTGACAAAATTGAATTTGAAGTCCAGTTGAATTCCCCTGACGTTCAACTCGTTGTGTTTTGCCTCCCTGCCCGAAACTGTTCTCAAAATCAGCTTGATGTTATCGAAATGTGGTGTGCAGAAACAACACAGATGTAACTTCCAATGAGCATCCAATGGCAGCGCTTGCAAACAGGACACAGCTTCGCATCCCATCAATGATCCCAAACTGAATGCCTGTATGTCGGGCCTGTGCCCAGGACGTGGCCAAGCTGGAGGGCACCTCCTACAACGTCACCCTGATGAACAGCGTCGTGCTGTACACGGGCATCCTGGCCATCCGCTACGTCCAGAACAAGCCCGGGGCCTCCTTAGTCCAGTACGGCCCTGCGATGGACATCTTCCACAAGCTGGCCAACGACTTGGACACCGAGGGCCGCTACCTTTTCCTCAACGCCATAGCCAACCAGCTGCGCTTCCCCAACAGCCACACCCATTACTTCAGCTGTGTCCTTCTGGTGCTGTTCCTTGAGGCCCAGCAGCGCGTGCTGCAGGAGCAGATCACCCGTGTGCTGCTGGAGAGGCTGATCGTCCACCGGCCCCACCCCTGGGGTCTATTGATCACCTTCATCGAGCTGATCAAAAACAAGCGGTACAGGTTCTGGGAGCTGGGCATCACGAGGTGTGCGCCCGAGATCGAGCACCTGTTTGAGTCGGTCGCCCGGTCGTGTCTGCCACAAGCCCCCGACGACATGCTGCACCAGGACATCGCGGTGGCCTCTGCTGTGCGTGCCCTGGAGTGAGCCCCACAGTCTGCTCTGCGTTTCCGCATCAGGATTCGACCTCAATCTTCCGGTCCTGTGCGATCTGGAACGAGCTTTGTGCTCTGCTCTGCGTTTCCGCACCAGAGTTCGGTCTCGATTTGCTGGCCCTGTGCGCCCCAGAGTGGCGTGGTGTGGTGTGCTGCGTTGACAGCCCGGTGCCCGTTGCGCCAAGACGGCTCAGACTCTGTTGTTGTGCACCCTTACGGAAACACAATCACAACGCAGTACGTGTACTGTACTGATAAGCCCATGGATCGTGCACCCAGCGCCCTGGCGGGGCCGGACTTTTCCTAGACAGTTGCTTTCGCCGTGTGCCATGGACCAGCGACTGCTGAGGGTCCGCAGTGCTGTTGGGTGGGCGATGGGAAGGTGTGCTGTGCTGGGAAGAATGGCCGAGCTGTTGCCATGCAGGCAAGGCAGGAGGGGCAGTGGGTGGGCGGGAGGGATATGGCAGGCTGTACGAGTTTTGGGAACTTGGGATGAAGGAGGTGGGGGAGCCGTGGTGTCAGGCTGTGTTTCTGCGCAGCTGCCCTTCGCAAATAACGGGTAGGGGTAGTGTTTCCTGCGTGTGTAGGTGCGGGCGTAAGGGGGCGGGGCGGGTTGGGGTGCAAGGTTGGGCCCGAGGGAGCCAAAATGTAACACAGAATTTTGAGTGCATTTTTTAGGGCGGTGGGCAACGCGGAGGTTGGGATTGATCCTCGCGGTGGTGAAGGCAGTAGCGGTGGTGGTGTACTTTGTAACAGGACGGTGGAATTATTTGAACAGTTTAAAAGGAGAACTTCAATTTCGGCTGTGCTTTGCCTTTTCCTGTGCACAACAGGTGTGAGCATGGAGGCGGGTTTCCGGCGCGGCGCTGAGCACGATCTGCGCACCCGCAGGCATGACGTCCCGCAAACAACATATCAAACCACCCTATTACATTCAAGTCACCGCTCGCATGCTGGGTCATCAATGCAATAAACAGAAGAGGGTAATGTGCAGCCGCGCCCGGACTTTTGGCTTGCGTCTGACGCAACACGCCCCTCGTACTCAATTGAACGAACATATGTACAAACAAAATGTATTATACAATGCAATAGAATATGCGATACAAGGAGAGCATTTGCTTGGAATTGAGGCCAACATCGCCTATAAGGTGCCAGGGCTGTGTTTTGTCAAGTTCGTTTGACAAATGTAATTCAAGGATTTGACTCCTCGTAACTTTGACGGGGAGCTTGGGGGCTGACGTATGAATACGTCAGCCCCCAGACATGTGATCCAG